CCCAGCTCAGGGATGCTTTCCTTGCTGAAGAGGTCAATCACCGTCGTCGTGCTGAAGTTGATTCTGCCTTGCATTCTTCGTCTACCACTGCCAATAGCACCTGCACCCATCCTAACTGCCATCATTGCAACCAATCCACCACCTCTACTCGCATTCAGTGTGATTTCTGTGGTTTACTTGGTCATACCCAGGATAAATGCCACAGATACGTTATTAGTCGCTAACAGGCGGTGGAGGGCGCTAAGAATTGCTACAAGCATGGCAATAAGGCTCAGGCAGGCTCCAGCAACTCTCAGAATACCTCTCAGCAGCCCAAATCTTCGCCCAACAATGCCAATTCATCTACTGTGGTCACTGAATCAGCTGGAAATGCAAGTCTTTGTTCCATTCATCCCTCTGATCCTCACTGCCCTCTCCAACTTGATGCTGACATTGATTGGAATGCAGACACAGGCGCCACTTCTCATATGACACCTCATCGTCATTGGGTGCACCACTATACCCCATATTGTGTGCCAATCAAGCTGGCTGATCACACTGTTGTCTATTCAGCTGGTGTTGGTACTGTGGTGTTTAATCCTGTGATGAATGGCAAAGTGGCTAGGGCTGTGGAATTCTCTAGAGTGCTCCATGTACCAGATCTTCGAAATAATCTCCTCTCAGTCTTGTATTTAACTTGTCAAAGTGGTTTCAATGTCACTATTTCGTCTCATTCCATGTCCTTTATGCGTGACAACACTCTCTTGTTCACTGCAACTATCAATAACAACAATGCAGCATTCCTTGATGGATCTACTGCTGCTTGTGTTGAATTGGGACATTTTACTGCAACTATACCACTTGATTTGATGCTCTGGCATCGCAGATTGGCTCACCACCATCATGCTGATGTCAAGAGACTGATACAGAGAGATCTGGTCACTGGGCTTACACTGGAATCCAAGGCTGCTCCTGACCCTGTCTGTGAACCGTGCTTGTCTGGCAAGATGCATGCCAATCCATTCCCCTCATCTGATACTCGCTCTGCTCATCCTTTGGACCTCATCCATTCTGATGTACACCAAGTCTCTTCCCCCATATTCTCTGGTTATCGCTACTGGGTCACCTTCATTGACGATCACAGTCGATTCCGTGTTGTTGTGCCTCTCAAGGCCAAGTCAGATGTCTTTGATGCTTTCAAGAGATTCAAGGCTTATGCTGAGACTCAATTGGAGCGTAAAATCAAGGCTCTGCACGATGACAAAGGGGGAGAGTACATGTCCAAGGAATTTGAGCAATTCACAGATGATCATGGGATTGTCAGACAGCATACCACCAGGAATTGTCCTCAGCAGAATGGTGTGGCAGAGCGAGCAAACAGACTTCTGACTGAGCGTATCACTGCCATGTTATCAGAGTCTGGATTGCCTAACAGCTTCTGGGGTGAATGTCTGTCCGCTTTGGTGCATGTCTGGAACAGGTGTCCCACTGATGCAGTGGCCCATGCCACTCCATTTGAGTTGTGGTATGGACGCAAGCCTGACATGTCTCACCTTCGCGTTTGGGGCTGCACTGCCTATGTGCATGTGCAAAAGGACAAAAGAGGCGTCTTTGGCTCTCATATGGAGAAATGTGTGTTCATTGGTTACCCTGAGGGATACAAGGGATGGAAATTCTACAATCCTACCACCAAGCACACTGTTATCTCTGAGAGAGCTGATTTTGATGAGCGCTACTTCCCTGGCTTGAAGAGGTCTTCTGACGATGTCCCGCCTCCACCTCCCACTCCACCTTCGCTATCCATGCCATTGGGCCTGATTGAGGATGTCCCTGCACCAGGTCCAGGGGGAGATATGGGCCCACCAGCTGCGCTTCAGCAGCCTCAACCATTGCCTGACAATGGGCCTCATTTGGACCTTGATGCAAAACCACCTGTGAATCAACCTCCTGAGCTTCCAAATCACCCTCCTCATCGCTCACCTTCTCCTGACTTGCCTATTGCACTGAGACGCCCTGTAAGGGCTAGGAGACCACCTAGACCATGGTGGCTTCAACACAGACAACCTACTCCTGCCATTGAGAGTGATGACAGTGATTCTGAGGCAGTTGATGATGAAGTGGCACACTTTGGAGACTCTGCTGAGCCTAGGTCGTTTGCAGATGCAATGAAGCGTCCTGATGCAGATAAATGGAGAGAGGCAGCCATGGAAGAGCTTCAAGCTCATGAGTGCAATGGTACTTGGTCACTAGTGGAACTACCTCCTGGAGTCAAGGCTATTGGTGGCAAGTGGGTCTTCAAGATCAAGCGCAACTCAGATGGCACTGTTGAGCGCTACAAGGCCAGATATGTGGCCAAAGGTTATAACCAGCGCCCTGGCTTTGATTTCCTCGAAATATTTGCACCTACTGTCCGCATATCATCCATCAGAGTTGTCCTTGCCATTGCAGCCATCCACAACCTCCATTTGTGCTCCATTGACATTTCCCATGCATTCCTGAATGGAGTTATGGATGTCAAGGTCTACATGCATCAGCCAGAGGGATTCCATCAGGGTCCTCGCAATCTTGTTTGCCAGTTGGACAAGGCCATCTATGGGACAAAGCAGGGAGGCAGAATGTGGAACCAGAAGATGCACACTGTGCTTGAAAAACTCGGATTCAAGCGTACTTATTCAGACTCTGCCATCTATGTCTTTAACAGAGCTGATGTGCGCATTATCCTGCCTGTCTTTGTTGATGACATGACACTGGCATCCACTTCTACTTCTGCACTTGACCAAGCTGTCAAGGACCTCTCCCTGCACTTTAAGCTTCGTGATCTTGGCCCTACTTCTTACCTACTTGGCATTTCCATCACTAGAGACCTAAGTAATCGCACCATCTCCCTCTCCCAACATCAGTACACTCTGGACATTCTGGAGCGCTTTGGCATGAAGGACTGCAAGCCTGTGTCCACTCCCATGGATCCTGGTTTGCGCCTCACCAAGGACATGTCTCCCAAAACATCCAGTGATGCTGCTTTGATGAAGAACATTCCCTACCTTGCTGCTGTTGGTGCTCTGATGTATCTGGCCACTACCACTCGTCCTGACATTGCCTACACTGTTGGAGTCCTTGCCAGATATAACTCTAATCCTAGTCTTACTCACTGGAGCGCTGTCAAGCACTTGTTCCGCTACTTGCAAGGCACCCTTAATCATTCCCTTGTCCTTGGTCCTGATCCCAATTCCACTGAACTCTTCACCACTTTCTCTGATGCTGACCATGGTGGTGACAAGGACTCTGGTCGTTCTACTGGTGCCTATATTGTCAAGATGGGATCTGGTGCTGTCTCCTGGAGCTCCAAGCTTCAGAACATTGTTGCTCTGTCCACCACTGAAGCAGAATACATTGCTGCTGTTGAGGCTGGCAAAGAGATTTGCTGGATGCGAAATTTGTTGAAGGAAATGGGCTATCCTATCACCTCTCCTTCCACCCTTCATATTGACAACCAATCTGCCATCTCTGTATCCAAGAACCCTGAGCACCATGGTTGGATGAAACACCTTGATCTGCGATGGCATTGGTTGAGAGATGTTGTTGACTCTGGGCAGATTGCTCCTACCTTTGTTCCCACTGCTGAAATGCCTGCAGACTTGTTGACCAAGGCTCTTACCAAGCCTAAAGTGGAAGTGTTCAGGAAGATGATGGGACTTATTAGATCAGGGGGGAGCTGATGCTTGGGAGGTGCAGCATCAGGGGGGAGTGTTAGTTTTGGTGATTCTGCACCTTTGTGCTACCTATATATTTTCATTCCTTTCTCTATCTATTCTTCTATCATTCACTATTGATTGTGTTCTCTATTATTTCGCCTTTGTGGCTTCTTTGTTTACCTTTGTTTACAAAACTTCGGACAGTATTGCAGAGTCCAATGCTTCCTATTCTCTAGTTACTCACATTGGACTCTAGTTCCAGTCCCTGATTGCTCTCAGCAAGTGGCTAGACACTTCCTTCAAGCTTTGTTCTTAATACACAGTTCCACTGATAGTCTTCATGGATGATGTGTTGGGAAATGTTTCTAAGCAATAGAATAAGCATCATGTAGTGTACCTCTCTAATGCCTCCATGCCTAGGGAGATGTTAGAAAAAGAGTTTTGTTTCCAGTTTGTTTCATCCTCACCACACGCTGCACCAATGGAGTTGATGAAAGGGGTCACCAAATCTATCTGGTCAGTAATGATCTAACTACACTATAATCTTTATATCTCACACATCAAACACAGTGAAGCAGCAAATTCTGGTGTTATTACTTGGGACTGCCAGTATGACCAAGAAACTATGTTACTACCTTATATCCTTTTTGTTGCAGGAGACAACCCCATGCACACCGAGGAATTTAGCCATTCAGGTCTCAAAAGCAATTTTTTCTGCAGGACATGTAAAGTTGGCGGCACGCAAGCTCAGAAAAAGACTGATGAAGGATATAACAATATATTCAAAGTAGGTTTTTTATTTCTGTGTTTTTCTTTTGCCTTGTAACTTTGTTTCTACAGTGCGGAGCTGCTCGGACTCCTCAAGAGACACGCAATGAAATCCTGCAGCAAGTTGACACTTCACTCAAGTCAGGTGGAACTAAGAAAGTGAAGAGTGCAGGTACAAATTCTGGCATACGCGATAGCACTAGTGCGTCAATTGTTCAACAACTACTTGCACTGGGCAAGCAGTTGCAAAGGCACAAAGCTGGAAAGCCTGCTTTACCTGAATCTGAAGTGCGCCAGCAACTGGAACAGGAACTTGAAACATTACTGCGCGGTTCTACGCTTGACAACCATATTAACCCATTGTTAGGCATGCCGGCTGTGGATATCCATCAAGACACTCCCACGGAGATTTTGCACACCGTAGTATTGGGGGTAGTAAAGTATTTTTGGGGACAAACGGTCTGGCTGCTTGATAAGTCATACTTGCTAACTACTTTCCAGACACGGCTTGAATCCATCAGCAAGGACGGCCTTAATTCAGTATAACTTGGGGCAGAATACATCTGTTGTTTCAAGGGCAATCTCATTGGCAAACATTTCAAAAGTTTGGCCCAGGTAATGCTGTATATTATATATGACCTAGTTTCTCAAGATGTCCTGGACACTTGGAGTGTCATTGGCGACTTGGTGGTACTTTTGTGGCACACAAAAATAGATCACACTGAGAAGTATTTGGTGAGTCCCATTACGGTTTAATTGCAGGCTTGAACATAGACACTTACACAAAAAACCATAGGCTCAACTCTTGTGAACCATTGAAGACTTCTTAAATATCACGGTGAAATGTGCGCCAAGTATTCTGGTCACAAAACCAAAGTATCATTTTCTCCTTCACTTACCAGCCTTCATACGCAGATTTGGTCCCACTTTACTCTTCTCAACCAAATGATATGAATCATTCAACCATGTATTCCACCTTTCTTCAGTTTACAGCAACCGCAAAGCTCCTAGCCGAGATAGCTGCCAATCCTTTGCATCACAAGATGCCATCAAACACATTACTACAGGGGGGTACTGGCGTGACTCTGCAACTGGAAACTGGCTCAGTGCAGGTCACGCGACACAAAACTACATTGCTAACCACCCAGAGCAACAATGGCTATTGGGTCTTCATTCAAATACCAAGAAGGTAGCTGGTTCAGCCAGGTATATTGCAACAGCACCAAGCAAACTGCCCGAGAGTATCCCCTGGCAATCAACAAGCTCATTGAATATTTACATCAAGTGTCAATGTAGCGCCCCAGTCAATTAACCTAGGTTGTTGAAGGCATCAACATTCATCACACAGAATGGCGACAAAGCAAAACTTGGGAGCCACGTAGTCATCTCCTCACCGTCTAATAGAGCCAACCCCTGTGTTGGCAAAGTAGAAGAGATTCTTGTAACTGAGAAGAAGCCCAGAGTGGCTGCTTATATAGCCGTTACTTATCTACAGTTCCAGCTATTTCAACACACCAAACTTCAAATACCTATCCTGCGGATTACAGTTGCACAAAATGTTCTAACTGCCAAAGTAAGTTCATTGTGATCCTTGCTACTATTACATTGACCACCGGGAAGAACTTCATTTGTATAGTTAATGTTCTCCATGACTGTATTACTGCAAACTGTAGCGACACTGCCATGGTGCCTGTGCGTCAAGCATACAGCGAGACCACAAAAGTTACCCAAGTGGTCGCGCACAAGCAATTTAATCAATATTTCTTAAATGTTTACTCACTACATAATTACAGACACATTTATTCAGTAGTACCCTCTCAACTTTGCACCAAAACTCCTCGGGTAAACAATGTTGGAGAGGTCCGACTTAATGCAGCAAAGCTTATACATGAAAAGAAGGCTGCTCAAGGTGTTAAAGAGCAAGACACAATTGGCTCTCTCGACAGCCAAGGAGTCGTAATACCAACACCAGCCTTTGATCGTACACTAAGTAGACAAGGAACTAAAAAAGAAAATAGTAATAGCAATAGGCCGCCAAAGAATAGTTGTGCAGTGCCCATCTCTCCACAACTCAATTTGCCATTCCAGCCCAGGCCCTCAAACATTCAGCTCTTATCTCCATCGACACCACAATCTGTCCTGCCTTCTCACCAGAATAACCATAGTCACAATCTGTATCCTCTCCCAACTTCTTTGCAACGTCCTGGCCCATCTCACTACCAGCATGATCATAGTTACAATCCTTTGCCCATCCAGAACTCTACCCCAGGTTCTGCTCCATCTCAGGTCTTGCATTATTGTCATCATCGTCCTTCTGTACCAAATTCACCTCCACAACCGAGTCATCTACACTACCAGCTGACAAAACCGGATAAACCCGGTCTCTGCCAAAGCAGCCATTGTTCTCAATGGAGCATAGCCACCACTCCATGGAGTCACCATTGTTCTCCTAGGAGTCATTATACTGTAGCGAGTAGCACCTCCGACTATAAGTAGTAGGGGGTTTAGTATAGAAATACCTCAGTCGTTTCTATAGCCTCTTGGGCAGCGGCTGAGTTTCACTTAGTTTTATTACCAGCATCATCTCAATGCGTATCCGGGACTGCATTCAACACTACAACATAGAATTTCTCATTTTCCACATCATCAGCTGCCTGCACCTGTGCCGAATCCCTATCCACACAGTAACCAGTCCCAAACAACTTTACTCCATTCATATTCGCCATTCCAGCCTATGCCCTGTTCTTATTATCACAACTCCAGCTAATGCTTGCATGTTTCACCCTGTTAAGTATTATTTCTCTTATTTTTTGGGGGCTTCACAAGACGAATGCTTTGCTTGCCTCCGTGTTTGCGGAGACACGGAGCTTGAAGTGTATTGCTTATGTCTGAGTTTTTCCCAACCCTTTTTGCAGCTTTTTCACTTGCCGTTGTCCTCTGAGCTTGCTGTGTCACTGATTTTTTCTGGTATGGCAGGTCAATTGTGTTTGCTTGCACAATTCAAGCGTCAACAGGTCACAGATGGGCTTGCAGGAAGGGGGGGGAGTTCTCCTCCAGACTCCCCATCAAACTTGGGTGACAACCTTTCATTGAGCCCTCCAAGGACTCCTGGGGCATTCCCAACTTGTTTGACTCGTCCCTGATCCGACTCAGCGGATGAGTTCAATCCAACCAGCATCAAGCGTCTCAAAGGGCTGGGAGTGGAGCTAAGTAAAAGTTACAAGCTCCCTCCATGCAGCTTAGATAATTGTGCAGAGGCAAGTAACCTTAGTTATTCTACATTGATATTGATGGTGATAATTGTCTTTACAAGTTGGGAAGTACGGTAAAAATGTTACTTGACATAAAAGGCCATCTTCTTGCAATGGACACTGTTGGTTGGGGATCCAAACGAGACAAAGCTATGGAAATGTTGGACGCTGATTTTAGGGTATATTTTTTCTTCTTTTAGTTCAGGAAGATTTGATTGTTAACTACTTAGAAACTGTTGAATGACCGTCTATGAGCATGCTTGTTCTCTCCAAACCTCACAGCTTATGTGACAGATCTGGGAGACCGCATTTTTGTGAGTGGATTTTATAGAACTTTTTTTTGGTTTCTAATGTCTTGGATAGGAATTTTTTTGGAGAAAAACCCGAATGTCTTCAAGTTCAAACAGGAATTCCTTCAAGATCCTGAAATGCGAAGTAAACTGGTGTCATTAATTAAAGATTTACTGACATCGGCGAGAGGAAACATAAAACCGAAGGTCAGTGTTGAATAAATGCATAGTTAAACAAGGTCTAATTCTATTTGATTCTAGCTATGGACCAGCATCCAGAAGAAACAGGATATTGCCACTTTGACAAAAGCACTCATTCTGCGATCCCCACAGTGATACCGAAATGCGGCTGATGCCGGACCGGGGACGTGCGCAAGGTAAACATATATCAATATCACCCGCTGTCACAAACAATGTCATGACACAGTCATTTCTGATAGTGTGCACAGCCTCATATATTCATTTCCTCTCAGTCGTTAGAAAAGATTCACATAATGTGGTGGCTTGACCCGGGAAAAGACATACTTAACGCAGTGTGTATATTGAATTTATCATGCTGCCATTTCTATGACTGACTCACTTTGCAGCTGTTCAATCGCATTCTTGCCCCATATGTGGAGAACCTAGACATGGAGCAAGTGACGTATGGCATCGGTGAAGGTGAGCAAAAAGCACCTGCGATGACCATTAAATAACGTCCACATTCAGGACAACTAACGCTTGGGCAATTGCGACTCAAAAAGGGAGTGATGGACAAGTTTCAACTTCCAGTGGAAATAATCGAAGGTCCCACACATGTTTTCAACATTATAACAGTGCTCATTATCTGCATCAGGCCATCTAGGGACATTCACATTGTCTCTTCATTGGAAGAACCTTGGAAACCAGCCTGTCAATGTCTTGATTGAAGACGTATATATTCTTGTTGGGCCATCATCAATGCCGACGATAGATCCGAAAGCAGAGGAGCAAAAAGCGCAAGCTGCCAAAGCAGAGCGCCTGCGAAATGCTGATTTACTCCAAATACGTGGGCAGGCGGCCCAATCTACAGGTACGTAGGTTCTCCGTATTGAAGGTTCTGGAGAGGATACTATAATTAAATCTTTAGAGACAACTCCCCAGTCTCACGGACTGTGGGCTTCGCTCATTACTAAAATCATCAATAACCTCCAAGTGACTGTCAAAAATATACACGTACGCTATGAAGACTATAGTAGTGTTACTGCGGTGAGTCTTAATATAAGGAATCTATAATTTCGCTATATAATTTCGCTAATATTCCACGGCAGCGAAACCCGTTTGCTGTTGGCCTCACATTAGCTGGATTTTCAGTATCCTCGGTTGACCACAACTGGGAGCCTGCATTCATAGACAGTACTGCTGGTGTTATACATAAGGTAGTTGCCGCAACTGTATCAAAGTCTGATCTAAACGGTCCACTAGCTGGCTAATTTGCAATCATTGGCTCTATATTTTGATACTGACTGTTTGGATAAGGCATTGACATCCGTTCAAGGGATTCAAATAACATCATGTTCTGTGAGCTACCTCATTTAACATCTTTTACTTTCCCCTTATCTCCTGACTTAGAGAAAAAGTCTTTCTCGACACCAGTTTATACTGAAACCTGTATCTGGAGAAGGGAGGGTGAGTTCATAACTTCTAGATCATACGAGTTTCTGAACTTGTCTGTATTCAGATTACATTGACCCGTAATGAAGAAAGAAATACACCCCGTTTTGACGTCCGATTGTTATTCGATGAGATTGGTGTTACTTTGGACGACGAGCAATATCGCACAGTCGTCGCTCTTATGGATACATGTCAATTTCACTCCCGCCGGCGACGGGTGAGGAGGATGAATATCACTTGTGTATCTTTAGCTAACGTTTCACAGCACCGCCAATTCTGGCCAGGCGGCGAGGAGTTGAATAGACCTAGAGCGCTTCTGCGTTTTGCCATGAGGACAGTGCTACACAGTATCCACGAGAAACGGAGAAGGTGGTCATGGGACTTCTTTGTTGAACGGCGAGATGATCGAAAGCGATATACGGAACTATTCGAGAAGAAGCTACGGAATAACATTACCCAGTTTGTTCGTGTAATTTATTCGTCCACCTCAGAGGCCAACTCACAGCCTACACTTGCAGGAGTCAAACTGTCTGGATGTCTTGGAGACTAAGTTGTCCTATGAGGATATTGTGTTTTATAGGTCCATAGTCCGAGCCCGTCTGCGTAAGGATGTGGCGATTCGTAAAAAGGCTGAAGAAGATAAAAGAAAGCAGCAGGATACTACTCAAAGCTGGACAAGTTGGCTGTGGAGCTCGTATCAGACTGGTCACCAAGCAGGTCTCCCACCAGGCGGAGTCATTACTGACGAACAACGCCAGCAGCTATACGACGTGCTTGACTTCGACGAAGAGTCTGCATTGTCAGATTCTTCCCAACGTTTTCGCCGTACTGCCAAGATACATGTTACAGTCAAGTTGAAGACAGGGTCGTTTGCTTTGAAGAAAGATCCCAGGGGCTCATCCCATGAATTCGTATCAATATCTTTTGACACTTTCTGTGCTGACTTTATCCAGAGATCCGATAATTATGAAGCGTCTTTATCCTTGGGTGGTTTCAGTATCTCCGATGACACTACGAAAGGAACACTTTATCGACAGATAGTTCATGTAGACAACGCATCTCGTAGTTTATCTTCGTCACTCGAAGAGCCTCGAGAGCCATTTTTCTTCATCAAATTCGAGAATAATCCTCTGGACAAACGGGCCGATACTGCTCTTACCGTTTGCCTGCAACACATGGAAATCATTTACCACAGGGCTTATGTCGAAGCCGTGTGGAAGTTCTTCAGACCCCCTCAAAGCCAGTTGGAGTCGGTTGAAGCATTATTGGTGCGTCTCGTCTGCTCCTTTTAAACACTTCTTTATGTTTTGCACAGAACGCTGCCAGTCAGAAGTTCGAAGGTTTGCGCAGGGAAACAAGGGCCGGTTTATCAATTGCAATACAAGCCCACAAAACAATACATCTCGAAGTAAACGTCGACACTCCTATGATTATTATACCTGAAGAGTACGTGCTATCCTTACTGGTCCGGATAAGTAGCCCAACCCTCTTGTTTTCCCAGTGTTACTACCACCAATTGTCAATTCCTTGTCATTGACGCAGGTCACATCTCGATTCTCAGTGACCCTGCAAACAAGGGTAGAATACACGGTGTAGACTCCTTATGCCCCAGTCGATATAGCGAGGATGAACATATGCACTCACTGCTGTACGATAAAACGGCACTTAGCTTGGAAGCTGCCCAGGTATTCAGCTGCCTCAGGAGTTGTCCGATTTTTTGCTGATTTGTCAAAGTTTGTCCTTGGTCCAGATTTACCCGCTTGCCGTGAAGCTTTGGCTTCCGGATTAGGCGGTCAACTTCACATTCTCGAACGCACTAATATCGATCTTCTAATCCTGAACTCCATCACGCACTCTCTCGAACTTATTGATTTCAAGGTTTCGGGAAGGCTTCCGACTCTTCAAGTCAATTTATCCGATGCCAAGTATCAATCCATCTTGCGCATCCTCGATTTATGTTTCCCCAATCTTGATGATCGACTGGAAAATGAGGAATTTCAAAGAAAGCAATCGTCAGCGACACCTCGTGGTTCAAGCCACCTTTTTGGTCAAGTAGAAAATGATTATGACATCATGGGCGAGAGTATCAACGTCAAGAGCTGTACTCGTCAAACCCCACCCTTGCAGACGCAGCATCTTGAAGGTCGACAGCCCACATTCGAATTCAATTTTAAAGTCGATTGTCTCTGTACCGTTTTAAAGAGGTCGAGTGATGGTGGGCACGAGAAGTTGTTAGGGCAACTTTACCTTGAGCACTTCACGTTTTCGTTTTCAACTTCGAATTTTGACACTGTCGTAAATATCTGTTTAAGGTATGTTATTTGTCCAACCTCTCGCCGGGCGCCGCTGCAATAATTTCTTCTGTAGATCTTTGGTTATGAATCTCGTGCAATCTGGATTGGATCCTTTACGATTTATATCTTCTCAGAACTTGCACACTCCAGTACACGAGGATCTTCTCAAAATTTCCTATATTCGCTCAACAAGGAAATCGTCACAGTTCAGCGGAACATACGAGAACATATACCAAGACGTTGACATCATAGTCTCCACTTTCTCTTTCATGGTTGCCCCAGAGCCTGTGCTATCGCTATATGACTTTATCATGGCCGGTTTTGTTTCTGCCACAGGTTCGCGGGGAGTGCATAATGCGTCGGTAAATAATGAGCTTGATGCGTATACAAGAGAAGAAATATCCCATTTCGATGCACAGATGGCCAAAAATCACCGAATTTCCTTGAAATTCGCAAGTTTATGGAGTACGTACATTGATACTTACCTCCCAGATTCTCTGTCTGAGACGAAACCTATTTAGTTGTGCTTGTTAGTGAAACTGGTACTCTAGCGACATTATCGTTGTCCACTGCGGATGTTAGTATTCTGACACGAGCAAACACTTTGTCCGTCGTTGGACGTCTAGGATGCTTGGCGCTCGAGGATAATCGCATGACGGAAGTTGCTCGACCTGAGTTCAAGCAACTGATGTCAATTCAAAGTGACAATTTTGTTGAGATCCGGTATCAGACAGTCGATCCCATACAAGATACATATGCAGGCATTAATTCTTCTATCCACATTAGTGCTGGATCCGTAAAGGTGCACTTCCTAGAGCAACCCATTCTTGACATTGGTCGCTTTATCACCAAACTTGTCGGTCTCAAGGTATTATATGATACTGCGCGCCAAGCTGCCGCTCAAAAAGCTTTCGAGCTTGAACACATTCAATTCGAGATATCAATGCAATCGCCTATAGTCGTTTTTCCACTGGAACCGGCCAGAGTCGGAGATGCCTTCGTGGTAAGGCTCGGCGAAGTCAGTGCGCGAAACTCATACCATGATCAAATAAACAAGATAGCAGCCAGTCTGCGCGGTATCCAGCTTGTATCTGACTTTGACCACGACGGGTGCCCTTCCAGTATCAAAATGGTCGATGACATAGACATCAGCTCAGTGGTTTTGCAACGGAAAAGTACCGCAGATCGTGGTGGTGGTACAGCGTATCCTAACTTCGAGGTTTACATTACTTTGATTTTGCTCATATGGAAGTCTAATTGCTATCATCAGGTTGCTGTGGAGGTTTCTGATGTTGAGCTATCTCTTGCTCAAGTGGAATATCACTCGCTGATACAATTAATGCAATCGGTGGCTACGGTTCTAACTAATACACCCCAGGGTAGTGTTAAATCTGCCTTGGTCATTCCGAGTATTGATGATAGCTCGTTAACTTCTTATGCAGGGCCTCACCATTTTAAACCAGAACTACACGCTATGCATGACCCTAAGGTTTTGCACAGGTGGACCATTATTGATTCAGTAGTCACCATCAATTCCGTCAGCCTTCATCTGTTCAATCGCCGAGTGACCTCGAATCACAGTCTCAAGCACCATAACATCGCGCGTTTTACCCTGAAAAACAACACGGTCAGGTTCAAGCTGGTTTCTGATAGTGCCGCGGAGGTGCAAGTGGTTTGCAAAGACTTCACTCTGAGCAACACAATGGTGGAAGGAACGAAATTCCGGTCCATTGTATCGGCTGCGCGCCATGGTCGTGACCAGCTTGCTCTGATGTACACAAAACCAAGCTGTTCAAGCGCTTCCCTTGCAGTTATTACCATAGACTCTCCTCAAATCATCTTTGCCCAGGACCCTTTCTTGGCTTTGCTTGAGTTTTTCAGCATTACAAGCCCGAGGTCCAAAGTTCCTGCCACTAGAAGCCGTTTGAGCAACGTTATAGTAGAAAGGCCGCTTGAATTCCGCATTGATCTTCACGATGTATCTTTCACTTTTCTGGAAAACCATCAAGATCATAATTCTCAAGCCATCAAGATAAACATCAGCCATATATCCTTTTCTATGCAGGTGCGAATTTTCGAATGTATCTGCGCAACTACATTTCACTCCGTTGACAGGGTGTATTGGCACTAACAATGAAACAACTTGGCGTGTCTCTAGTGCAGATGGACGATGAAGAAAATGTTGTCCATGTATTGGATGACGTCAATATTTCCCTCTCCTATCAGAGTCGTATATCACGCCAACGGCAAACGTCAAGTGCGAACTTGGCAGTTAATCCAATAATCATTCGTTTATCTTTTCGTGACGTCATCTTGATCAACGCTATCATAACAAAAACAATGATCAGGTACAAGGAGGTGAAGCACTCATCTCTAACTGGCAATGACATGGAAAATCTTATGCACGAGACAATCGACGGCCAAACTGGAGCGCCTTTTGGGTTGAATGACACTAATCCTGTCGTAAACGGCAAAGCAGGGATGATGTTTAAGGAACAGGTAATAATCATGGTAGGGGAGTGATGCAATTATACTGAATATTTATATGTGCATGCGATTAGTTGCAGATGTCTTTCGACACGATTCGCGTTATTTTGACAGGCGATATGCTGGAGGAACATATCCTTCATCTGAAGATCAAGCCATTTACGTTTTGGATAAAAGATTGGTCGAGCAAGGTAGTTAAGCATCTTGGTTTCGTATATGGTATTTAACGACGTAGCAGAGGCTGCAAACTACTACGACAATAGTGCCTGAGATAAATTATTGGAACTTGACGAACTCGCACTGGGAACCATGTAGGTCATCCTTTCTGCCCATATCTCGCTATTGATGTTTTTACAGTAATTGATCCGTGGGCATTGACAATACTGGTAAATTATCAAGACATGCTTTCGAAAATAAATTGTAACCCGAAGAAGGTAACTATAGATGACACTTTCGGCGGGCTGGACATTTGTGTATCTGCACGTGAACGACTAGACGTCAACATTACTTCTACATTCGTCGATCTTGCTGTCACTAATCTTCGCATCTGGAGCCAAGAGGGCGAACAAGCCTCCCAACAAGTTCGTGGCAGCCGCACGCCATATTGTATAAGGAATAGAACAGGTTTGCCCATTTTAGTATGGTCAGACAACGACAACAATCACAGCTTTAACGACTCAAGAGCGGTCACAGTGGCGAGTGACGAGACAGTTCATTGGAGATTTGATGACCGGAAGACTATGCTAGAGGTGGCTTGCATATTTCGTTTCAAGGAGTTCACATTTATTTTTTTGATCACAGCACGCACTCAGTTCTGGCCACCAAACACAAAACATCGGGATTCGATTTGTGGGTAAGTCTTGGGAGTCGGTTCACGGGGTTCCTGTAAATAAGGAAGGCTCTTTCACGTTTCTGCTACGCCCTCGGATGAGTAACCATGCGGACTGCCTGTTGTGCGCTGTGAAGGTTCATAACAATATAAAAGTTGTTACCTTTCGGTCCACGTATTTGGTAGAAAACCAGACATTCTATCCTTTGGAGGTGATGTTAGTAGACCATGACGGTCAACCAGTACACTCCCTCCAAAAAATTGGTAAGTACCGACTTGCTATCATCATAATTTGTAGTGACATGTGCCTAGCTCCCGGTCGCGACTATCCTTTACCAATTGATACTGTTGCGCAAAATAGAATAAGGTTGCAGCCAGATCGTATGTCTCGGGTCATCAACGTGTTCTTAGTGGTCCTAATCTTTTGACTGTCACTAGAAGGATTTGGTTACAGATGGTCCCCGTCTATTAGACTTGAAGATCTCCTTTTCAAAAAAAGCTTTACTGTCGGCTGTCCTCATCATGATGTACAAGAGGCCCCTTTCAGGTTTCAAGCTTGGGTAGAAGGTGATACTCAGGTGTCAGGGACACGGTTAGTTTTCAGAGCCTTGTCACAACATCACACTGTCTTCAATCCCACTCTAGGAACTCATTCATGGCCAGTTTAAAATTGCGAGCTCCAATCGAACTGGAAAATTTGTTGCCATATGACCTTCGGTACCGGATTTACAACAAAAATACTGACCAAAACTGGACAAGTTATTTACGAAAAGGCGGCATAATGCCAGTCCATTCCGTGGAGCTGGGGCATTTGATTTTGCTGAATATTGACTTACAAGATACCGGTATAAAATATTATTCCATTGTCTAAGCTAGCCGTTAATTATCGATCCGACACAGTCTTCAGTCCCAGTGAATTTGCAGTCATCAACACGGACCGCCATTCTGACTTCGACGTCGAATCTTTCCTCATTCTGCGCGATCAATGCGATCGCAAGCTTCAACTTCAGCTGAACTATGTGTAAGTCACCCCAGTCAAAAGTTCTATCATTATTAATGATGATACAGCCGTTATCCGGACTCGGGAGGGGCCTTCAAGGTCCAGATATATAGTGCCTTTGTAGTAGTGAACAAGACGAACTTACCATTTGGTGTGAAGTCCGCTCGCTTAGGCAAGTTACCTAACTGGCAAGATGTTGCTGGAGATAGTAGACCAGGTTAGTCGATTATCGCTCTGGCCCGACCTTGGATCTGCCGCTGACTTCGGTTTAGATGCTCTATCAAGATCAATTCCCTTCAGTGTGTAACATTTGCTGCTATGAGGGTGCACTAATACTCTTTCACCAGTGTTGTCTCATACTCTGGATCGTAGTCAAACATTTGCCTTCAAAATAGGTGATTCTGGTTGGTCTAATGTACGCACAGACAATACATTGCCTGTAGAGTTTTGACCGAAACATATTTAGGTTTTCAGTTTCGATGCTCCTGCAGCGGAAACGGAGCTTGTTATGCCATCTGAGAAGCAAAAATCAGAAATGTTTCACTTCGGATTAGCATGGACTGAAGGCCTTGGCAAATACAAGTTGACTAAAGTGATCACCCTACTTCCTAGGTTTATAGTCATAAATAATCTGGATGGCCCAATATGTCTTCGCGAGCATGGAGCAGATCCCAAAGGACGTGCCATCATTGTCGCTGGTGATCATCTTCCCTTGCATGTCATGCAAGCCAATCGAGGCATGCTGCTGACTATAGCGTTTCCTGGCTTAAACTCCCAATGGTACGTTTTATATATAATAACTGTTATAACATGTAATGAATCACTAGTTGTTAGGTCTCCGCCTATAAATATTGAAGATATAGGTCCTGTCCACTTTCGACTTCAAAGTTCTATGGCCGACAGAACCCTAGAAGTCATCAAGGCTGACGTCCGAATCAAAGGTTCTACTATATCTATCGCCTATTCTCGCGCTGAAGAATGGCCATTTATAATTGAGAATTATAGTGACTACAGCATTTTACTGTGGCAAATGGTAACGTGACCCTTCTCACAGGGGATAGTCTACTTCTGATTATTCAAAAGAATCAAAGCCAATCAGAATCTTCATATAAACCCGGCGGGTCATACGTGCTAGAGCCAAATACCAACTTGGAATATGCTTGGGATTACCCTGCTTCGTGCGGGAAAAGGATTGTCCTAAGCATCAACGATGCACGTCATATTGTGGATATCATGGAAATAGGCGTTCTCGTACCTTTCAGATTCTCTGTGGGTCATCTAAAGTTTGAGCATAAGCCATGCTTACATAGTTTCTAGGATCGTCAGCGTTTGAAAGCAGTATCGTTGGACGTTCGTGCTGATGGCGACAAGCAGATCCTACGCGTCACTAACTACATGGCAGAACATAGCCTATACAAACCAAAAAGCCCCACGGACGGATCTATGTCACCGGCTTGTGCATCTACAAGTAATGTTGAGTCATTCGAGGCCGTGGCTGAAGAGATCCCTCCATCTTTGACCTTGGCCATTGATCTGGCAGGCATTGGTTTGTCCATGATCAACCGCAAGATGATCGAAGTGCTTTACATTACGATGCATAAATTGAAGCTTGAATACAGTAATAGTCGCGTCCTTCAAGCTATCAATCTGTCATGTCGAGATATTCAAGTCGACAATCAATTGCATGATGCCCTTTATCCCGTGGTCCTTCAACCCAGCCTTGTTGCGGAGGAGACCGGGGGACTCTTGCCCACTATTCAAGGGTCTGTTATATGGCTGAAGGATCGGGGTCTGTGCTTCTTTGCGTCATTCTTGAGACTATTCTCACCCTTTAATAGAACACGGAGTGCTTTTCATCAAATACTGTTCTATCTTGATTCAGGCGGTGACGATTGAAGCAGATGAAGATTTATTATTTGCGATCTTGGACTTGGCGCAGGTTAATGAGGTGTCATGGGAAGAAGAAATAGAGGAGTGAATGTAAACTTTTCTAAATGGCAAATTTTACTGACGTGTTTGCTATTTTCAATTAGCGTTCTGATTGCAGATACAGGATATTTTCCGGAGCCTCAGGAGATCCAGTCACGTCAATATCTGTATTTCGAGATCCTAGAGCTCCAACCAGTGCAGCTGTCCTTGTCATTCATGCGTACGGAGAGAATCAACAGTAGAGAAAAGTAAGCGTGCGCGCTTATTTCTTTGAATCAAATCTTAGTAATCATCAGGTTACGCATTCGAAATCCGCTTGCCGTTATGATAAATGCATTGACAATGGCATTGGGTAACATTAATGATGCTCCTCTCGAGTTGAATGCTCTTGTCATCAGAGACATGCGGCTAACGTTACCAGAACTTCAAGGTCGCATAATATACCACTACAGACAAGACGTCCTTCGTCAATTCTATCGAATTCTTGGCTCTGCTGATTTTATCGGGAACCCAGTGGGACTTTTTACCAACGTCAGCTCTGGGGTTGCAGATATATTTTATGCGCCTTACCATGGTGTTGTACATGGCAACAAAGAGTTTGGTATAGGAATCGCTAAAGTTGTGAAAAACCCCTTTCCTTTACGGTCTGCTTTTAACGTCACCTGCACAGGGAGCTGCTAGCTTTGTGAAGAAAACTGTTTTTGGTTTGTCGGATAGTATAACAAAGTTTACCAGTAGTATGGGGAAGGGTACGATCTCATTACTTCCAGGCTCGCAAGTATTACACATCTCTAGGTCTTTCTGCCGCAACCTTTGATTCCGAGTATCAAGCTCGCCGTCGGACAACACAGAGACGGAACAAACCCCGTCATGCAATGTATATCTCATCTCCACTTCACATACTATTTATTGAATGGCCCTACGAACAGCTATGGTGTTACTGCTGGCGGAGAGGCTCTAGCGAGTAGTATTATGAGTGCAATGGAGGGGATTGTCGTAGGTGTCTATGTCCTGTAGTCCATGCAAGCTTTATTCTCACATCAAGTAGACGAAACCTGTACAGGGTGCCGAATCTGAGGGAGCCTTGGGGTTCTTCAAGGGTGTAGGAAAAGGAATAGTAGGGTAAGGTCCTGTGCAATATACGACAACTATATACTCACCCTACATCCCGCAGCGTTGTCACAAAACCAGCAGTTGGAGTTTTTGATTTAGCGTCGAATGTGTCTGAAGGTATTATTCTTCTAGACATGTCCATGATGGGGGCCTTTAACAGGAATAACAAGGTATACGAAATACTACTACTGTGTTCGATGTCCCTGGTCGAGACCGCGTGCGGCCGGTAAGTTCTACATTCATTAATGGACAATCATTCATGTCGCGCATTTCAGCCTCGACATGCTCCAGTAGACGGTGTCATGGTAGTGAGTACTACATCAAATTACTCCTCCACATACTAATCTTCGTATTGAAAGCCTTACTCTGCTCGTGAAGCCTTAGGCCAATACTGGATGAGAGATCTCAAAGATGGCGCGTATCGGCATGATACGTATATAGCTCATATTGGCAAGTAAATATCACGTTGTGCTGGACGTAATTTAATTGACAAGTATTAGACTCCCAAGATGGTGATAATGTTGTACTTCTGACTGCTTCGGCTTTGTTGTCATTTCGGTCCAGAAAATTACGGCTCGATTGGGAACTACCCTTTAGCATGGTACAAGGGGTCACCGCGGAAGACACAGGGATTCTATTTAGCCACAAAGCAGGTAAATCCCGGGACAAATTTGTCTTCATCTCAGATAAACAGGTGCAACTATGGTTCTTTGATGAAATCGCTTCTGTAGTTAGGGTATTCAATGGCCGGCGACGAACGGAAGCCGGATTGGTTTAAAATTCTAAAGCAAACTGTAGAGAAGTGGTTTCTTTTGACATTGATGTTTCGATATTTGTTAGTGGGACTATAGTTCCTGGACCCTTGGTGATCATCGCATACGTCAGGCTGATCCGTTTCTTCTATAATACTCAATCCTTCGTAAACTGAAGAGCTACACTGCCGGAGCATTGCCTGATGGGCACGAGCAGTCTAGAGTGTAATAAGTCCATAGTAATATCATAGTTTTACCACAGTTGACACTGCAGTCAGACTATAAAAGGAGGAACTCAAACAAACTACCGGCTGAGACTGTAAACAGACTACAAGTTGAGACAGCAGCGGGCTACAAGCCAAGTCTGTAATCAGACTAGTTTCAATTGTAGTCTGTTTCAAGATTTTCATATGTGGAATGGCCAGAATAAAGCGCACAAAAACATTAAAATTGTTACTATTGCCCAGCTAGCAACAGGCTGTAAGTAAAATAAAATCTGAAGATGACAATGAGTGTACTACTAGCGGTTAAAACGAATGTATCATCAATCCTGTCATGACATAGTGAACTTCATGCAGGTACGACATCTACAAAACCTGGTCCAGAAAATTGTTGAACCCCCTTTGGCGGGTTGACAGACTTGACACAGTGCCTCCTGCTGCCTGAGAAGAATGCGACAAGTCACTAACTTGAAATATGCTAGCATTGGCATCAAACTGAATATTGTTGTTCTCTACAAGTCCTGCAATATATCTAAACAAGAGAAAATCTTGAGTGGTAGACAGTCAGGTAGTACAGGAAAATGTTACCGTTGAAAGCCTTCCTTGTCATTTGCAAAAAAGTCCTTCTTCTGTCAAAGATGATTTTCTAATGACTTCCAGAAGGTAGGCTTGCCACTGCTGGATTTTGTGGCTGATACATTTCGGCCTCTGGTGCTTGTAGAAGCTGATACGCTTGCAGTAGGAGTGGAAGACCTCATATTGTCATTCTTGAGAGACTCATCACTGTCAGGTATTTCCTCTCGGCTAAGTATGTCAGTATTTGAGAAAGCAAAATCATGCTGAAAATATTAATATTTAGCAACAACAAAATAGAATAAAATATGCATAAAAGAGTAATACTTACAATTTGAACATGTAAAGCTATCAAAAGTGGTGACAAGGGATATTTGATTGGCTTTGAGCTGTGTTTCTGTAGCCACCCAACAATGTGATTTTCAAGAGTTAATTTTGATGAGCCATCTACCAAGCTGTGAATCTATATTTCAGATTTCATCAGTTGATAAATCACAATATGTAAGATAAAAACAAACAAATCTTTGAGCCATCTCTCGTACTTGATTGCATTGTGTGCATATTGCACTTGTAATCAGCTTCTTGTCTTTTCTGTTTTTCCACTGATCTTCAATCCCAAGCTCAGTGGTCTGTTGTGCGACACACTTCTACTCAGAAAATAGTGAGTGCAAAGAAAAAAGAAAAAAGACTTACCATAACGTCTTGATACATAAGGACAAAGTTAGTGCAGTTACCCTCATTCATGAGGTTGCTCGCTATGCTATAAAAATGGCTCTGGGAAATAAATAATAAATAACAAATATAGTGATCTGGTGACGGTGACAAGAGATAGAACTTACACGAAGCGAGTCCGAGACACACTACTGAGTTTTAACAAGACTGCAGAGGGTGGCTACTTCAGCTGAAAGTGATACAAGAATTTTGTCATGGTCTTCAAGCAGCTGCAGAATATGTGTTTCACAGGCAAACAACATCATACATATTAACTGGTGAGACAACAGCAATCCAGATGCTGCCTAGAATTATTTCAAAAATGTAGTTAGGAAAGATGAAATGTTCTTACCTTTTGAAATAAGAGTAGATCCTTTGCATGATCACTGTCAAGCTTGTATTGACCTGTGAGAAGAGCAAGAGCATGGACCAATTCTGAGGTAGCATCCGTTCTTGTAGCAGCTTGATGTACTAGCCTGGACGGTACAGATTCTGTAGGATCCTCCTCCTCAAAATCACTAAATTCATCATCCTCTAACCTAGTGCGCTTGTTGCCAGCCAATGATAATGACTGACATGCAGAGGCCCTCCTCAGTGGACTCCTGTGCTTGGGGGAAATACTCTGTAGGTTATAGTTAATATGCACTCCACCGCCATTACTACTATTATTCACAGTGGGGCCTGCCAGTGTACCTCTGGAAGGAGTTGAAGCAGAGTTGTGCGGGTAAAACAAGTGAGGCTGGGATCTTTGAGCAGTATTTCCTTGCGGAAAATAAGGGCTCATCAATCTTCTAACATCCATGTTGAGTCGAGCACACAGAATCCTCTGTGGATGTTTGTGGATTGACAACAAGGTGAAGCCTGATGTGGCAGCTGTCACAGCTGGGGTAACACATACACGGTGTGGTAGGTAAAAAAAATGCTAAGTCCAAATTCTCTATAATACCGTTCTGCTACCATCCTGCCTCTAGCTCCAGCTCACATGCTACCTGAACAATATCATCTATATCAAGTGGAGGGAGGGCAATGGTAAAATTTTGGATGTACTTTTCATCCCACATCTTAGACACATTGAGAACCAGTAATTGACTATTGAAGTGTCGCACTGCAGGTTCTTGTTCATCCTCGTTCAATGTATATATGGCGGAAAAAAGAAAGATCTCATCCCCCAGCAGCACAGTTACACTGTATGTTTGCGCTACAGAGAATGTCCTACAAAAATTAGTATTACACAACTGAATGATGATTTTTGAACAACAAACTGTGGGCTTCATCAAATAGTAATGTTCGGTAGCATGCAAAGATGGCATCCAATATGGGTGAACTAGCTCGCCAACTTGATATTCTTGAACAAGAATCCACTCTGCTTCTCTTTCGATCCATTTTTGTGCAGATAGCAGGATCTCAACCACCTTGCCAATATGCAATTGCCTTTGTTTACGGAAGACTATAAACTCATCTAATCCTATGCAATCATTGTTCATTGCAATGATATTGCGGTGTCAGGCAACAAATACGAAGCTATATAACAAAGCACAATGCCTGGTCAAGTCCTTACTGGAAGGCGGTGAATCAGGGTATGAGAATGAAGAGTATCGGTATGAGCGCAAATCCAAACTAATATTGAACTAGAGAACAATACATCAAGTATGTACTTCTCTATATAGTGAACGGCGATGGTCAGACCGAGAAAGGGAAGTACTGAGAAAGTGGTCTGACCAGCTAGCTAACCAATAAGAAAAAAGGAGAAAGTGGTCCAATCTATTGTATTTACTAATCGTATGAGAAAATGTATTGGTAAGGGATGTGCAATTGGCTGTATCAGTAAGCCCATGAGAAGGCACTGACTCACAACCTTCTTCGCTTATCAATATTCCTACGAAGTATTCCCAGACATAGCACTGGATCGTGGCTATGTCATCTGGATATCTTCTCGAGGGTCGACAACAAGTCTTCCTCGTTGTAGGTACGATAGAACGTGAGTGTGAAGAGAGAATAAGAAGAAAAATGATAAAAGTAATAAGACACCTGCTGTAATCTCTAGTCCAAAGGCAAGAGGAGTGACGGGGATCGAGTCTGCTAACCACGACATGACGGGAATGCGATAAGAAAAATTGATTCCTCACATGCGGCAGCGGCACACAAGTAAAGTGTCATCAAATATATTGAGGTACTGGAATGTGTCAGTCTTTGTCCAGCGGATGGCAGGCTTGCTCTGGACAGTAACCATACTTAACATGCATTTTATAAGCTTTAGCGGATACATATGCAAGAACTTAAACAACAAACCAGGTAGCATATGTGGGGGCACTACAAGTCCGAGCTTCCAAGATATTAATGGCGGAGATGTGACCAGTGCAAGAGCTGAAGGGCCAGCACAACTCCATTCCCAATTTTCATCACCGACAAACTCTTCATGTTTGACTTTGAAGTATCCACCAGATACAAAGTGGCGCAAACATAGAAGTCCTGCAGCACATCTAGCAATGTCCTGGGATGGTGCTTGCTGATTTGAATTGACCGACCAGCCACAAATAATGCTATTAAATGATTCTTGTACTTCAGTAGCGAATAATGTGGCTGGTCCAAAGCACTGTATATGATCAATAATGTGTATGATGAGGTGGAACTTGGGCTTATTAAACCAACGAGGTGTCCATTGGACAGTGCAGTTGAGGAAGTGATTGATGGAAGCCTCCAATCAAAGCTTAACATATTAATTGTCAGATACGGCAGTCAGGGCATAGACAGAAAGTTAATCACTCACAAAGTAACTATTCTTATCATCAATATCCGGTTGCCATACAAGAGGGGCAAGGACGCATAGAGCAGCCCATGCATTGAGTATCTTTTCATCTAATAAATCATAGAGAACAAAAACTGCCACCTGACTGATCAAGTAGAAATCACGTCCAACAAGCAATCCTGCATACTGAACAAGGGTATGCCCCCACAACCTCAAAATACTAGGGTCGAGGCCAGAGACATCTAAACTACTTAGTCGAACCTTTAGGATTTGTTTTTGGTCATCAGATAGCCGCCCTACAGCATCTCGCCAAAAGTATTTGAGAAAACCAAGAAGGATAACATGGAGAATTTTGATAGGTGTGTCGGAGTGGGGATTTAAGTCTGTATTTTTGTATTCAAAAGCAAATCATCTACATATAGTAAGATAACTCACCTTGTATTCGCCATACTGAGCTAAAAACATTAGAAGGCAGGTTTCAAACAGCATTATGCAAGGCTTGCTCAGCCACTCGGCCCTTCAGACCCTTACAAACTTTGTCTAACTTAGCAAAAAAGTGCTGCAAAACTGTGTCCTTTACACCGGTAGATGCTTGTAATAATTGGTTATCCTTTTGAGGTGCCATGTTGACCACATTTTGAAACATGCCCCGAGAGGTTTGTTTTGTTTCAGCAGGATCACGAGCTTTTCCTCCCTATAGCTTGATTTTTAGTGTACTACCTTGGGATATTTATAATTCAGATACCTTTATAAATTGTTTGATGCGGTCTACCATTCCTGGTATTGTTTCTTTCTGAGGGTGATTGCCATCTTCATCCTCCATGTCATTGTCATCCTTCCCTTTCACCCAGCAGCAGCGACAGAAAAATTTTGATTGCAAGCCTGCATGGCATGCAAACTCGCTGTGCATAGGATTATCACCTAGCAGTGCCAGTACTGATATTATGACCAGCACTACCTCCTTGAATACACAGTCATAAGCCCAGATTCCGGTGTCTTGACATGCACTACACAGAACAATTAGCATGATGTATGGCCAAAGAGTAGCTGGAATATATACAGAATCTCATTGACAACCCCTTCTAACATTTCTAGAGATGGTGCAGCATTTGATGTATATAGAAAGTGCAGGTTGTATTCCCGATGCAGATGTTCTCTTGGAAGGCCAGCAGCACTCATGAGAAAGCTATTGTGTTCATTCCACTTCTTTGATTGATTGCCAGATGTGTCATCACAGTAAATGAAAACAGGGTAAGCTACTACTTGTGCACCTCCAGCCTTTGTACGCCATGGATTGGAAAGAGGCTGGGTCCACTGCTGAACCTGTCCCAAGAGATTGGGAGGCCAAAAACCTTCATAGAATAGCAGTTAGTACATGTAATGTGTAAGAAAAAATACAATTTTACTAAATGGCACATCAAAGCGGGGCATGTTTGGCCCAAGATAAGCATCCTTCAACCCTTCAAAACACAAGGCTAGCATGTCCTTGGACATAGTCAATTCTTGTCCTTGTTCAATAAGCCATCCTTCGCCACACGAAACTACTCTCCATGCTCGAAACCACACATATCCATTTGTTTTAAAAAACATATATGGCATACAAATAGTGTTGTCATTCAAAAGTGCTGGCTCATGAATATAGAAATCCTGTGATCCTATGCGATACATAGGAGTTGTTAAGTTGGAATCGAGTTCATATAGCCATTGGTGGGCTTGGCAAATTTCATTCGATACTGTTCCACTATCTTCTGGATAGACTTTGAGGACAGAGCGTGTCATGGGATTAGAAAAATTCTAGACAGATGATTTAGTTACATTATTTGACGGATATCAAAAGAAATTTGAGTACCAATTTTACAAGAGACTCGGGTCTGATCATATAGTATGTATGACCAAGGCACCCCATATGTTGCTTGATCTCAACACTGCACATATCATCTAAATCCCATCCCATCTTTTTGGTTTGAGCAAGCAAAGAAGTGCCGCTGACGCCGTTCTGCTGTAATAACCACAAAATCACTTCAAGTTCATCTCCAGAAAATATACTTCGTGGTAAATTTGATATAATGTCAAGTGTACAGGACTACAGATATGTTAGACACGGATAGAGAATGAAATAGAGATGCAAACAAGACAATCACTCCATGGATGCCATGGACCTTCTGCATCGTGTGAAACTCCACGCCGATGAGATGTTGCTGCTGAAATTGTAAGTTAAAATACATGTATAATGTGCCAAAAGTACTTACCACTTATGTTACCATACAGTTCATCCTTGTCTGAACGCTCTACATCACCCTCATTATTGTCACTGTCCACTTCTAAGTTATCCACATCAAACCCGTGATCACAATGATAGCCTCTACAGCTCGTCAAGCTGCATGCCTCATCTGCTCCTCTACTGAAACTTGTGGTTGATCAAAATCATGACCAGCATAGTCAGGTCCATTATATTCGACATCCATTGGAGTGGGCAGATGAGCTGATGCAGAAAAAGTGGGGTGGCGGTGATCAGAGGGCCGAGTAGTACAATTGAGGGATTGCTGCTGTGGGACGAATAGTCCTGCCGCTTCAAGGAAGGCATCAAGGCCAGAGTTGCCTTGTGCAAGACTATTGAAAGCTCCCTGATGCTCATTTTTGTCTCTGACAGCAGCCATATGTGCAGCATGCAATTCAGTGGCATAACTTATGACCTCATTTTTGTGTTTGCGAGAAAACTCGTGGCGAAGGGCATTGAAGAGAGGTTGGTTTTGGGGAGCATCTGGACAGCGAAGGCAAGCCCAAGTGTTATTCTGCCAGTTTAATTGGAAATCTGGCTTGAATATTATTATACTAAGATCACCTAAGTGGCACACATGAGTGAACATACTTTTGGGTGCAGTGAAAAGACCATGATGAAAAAAAAATAAACAACTGTGTGCATTAACTTGCACGTTGGAGACAATGTTCAATGAGATGCTGCTGTGTGATTTGGCTGTGTGATGCGACGGCAATAAAATGACTTGAAGCGTGGGAAGCGTTGGCTTGTGAAAAATCTACAAATAATCTTTACAGACCAACAGCGGTCTCATTTTCACGGCCATGTCCCGGTATTGCACTGTAGTCAGATCAAAGGACTAATAAACCTAAGTGAAGCTCAGCCACTGCCCGAGAGGCTATAAAAACAGCTGAGGTATTCCTATACTAAACCTTCTATTACTTATAGTCGGAGGTGCTACTCACTACAGTATAATAACTCCTAGGAGTACAATTGTGCTCCTAGGAGAACAATGGTTACTCCATGGAGTGGTGGCTATGCTCCATGGAGAACAATGGCTGCTTCGGCAGAGACTGGGTTTATCCAGTTTTGTCACTCCCGCTCGAGTGCAAACGTAGTCCCATAGCTTTAGAGAATTTCCAGTGTTTTTCATGAGTGAGGGGTTTAGTGAGAATGTCTGCAACCATATCTCCTGTAGGAACATATCTGATTACTGCCTCTCCCTTTGATACTAAGTCATCTTGGATAAAATGATATTTCCGTTGAATGTGTTTTGTGCGAGCACAGAACTGTGGATCTTGTGTAAGAATGATAGCTGCTTGATTGTCACAGTGCAATATTGTAGGTCCATTTTGAGCATGTCCAATTTCTTCAAAAAATGTCCAAAGCCATGCAAGGTGTTGTCCAGTATTGCTCAATCCAATGTACTCTGACTCCGTGGAGGATAAAGCTACCATGCTTTTTCTTTTGCTTGTCCAGGAGATTACTCCTTGGATGGTGATAAAGACAAACCCTGATGTTGATCGAGACGTGTCTGGGTCTCCAGACCAATCTGCATCTGAATATCCATAGAAATCCATGTCCATGGAGACATCTGTGCCATCATATCGTAGTTCCATGTCCCTGGTTGCTTTCAGATATTGGAGGACACATTTTGCAGCTTCCTAGTGATGGCTCCTTGGAGCTGAGCTATGCCTGCTTAGTATTCCAATGACGTAGGCAATGTCTGGGCGGGTTCCAAGCATGGCATACATGAGGGAGCCTACAATTAAGAGGTATGACACTTGACGCCCTTCAATATGCATCTTGTGTTGCACAATATCTTCCCCTGGAGCATTTGCAAGGAGTTTTGATCCATGGGCCATTGGTGTCCATACTGGTTTGCAGTTCTTCATTCCAGTATGCTCCAGGACTGTGTCAATGTATTGGCGTTGCAATAGGGATATTGTTTTGTTTGAACAATCACGTTGGATTTCTATTCCGAGGATGTATTTTGCTTCTCCAAGGTCCCGCATTTTGAATATGGATTCGAGTTTGGCTTTTGTGATATCCATGAATTTTTGGGATGAAGCTCCTGGGAGGAGGTCATCTACATAGACAACAACAAACCATATTTGTTTGTTGTCCCGGAATACATAGAGACATGTTTCTGCATTTAGTCTTGTGAAACCGAGCTCCTGGAGCTTGCGATCAAAAGTTTTGTTCCATGTACGACCAGCTTGTTTTAACCCGTAGATGGATTTCTTCAATCTCCAGCAGTATCCAGGTTGGATAGGAACACCCCCTGGAGGACACATGTACAGTTCTTCTTCAAGTTCTCCATTGAGATAAGTTGTGGATACGTCCATTTGATCAAGTTCTAGGTCGTACTTTGCTGCCAGGGCTAGAATAATCCGTCATCACTCTATCACGGGTGAGGGAGGCTATCACAACACAATGGGATCCGCACCCATGTACAGTGATTCTGGACCTTCTGGGCATGCAACCAATCAGTATGCTTTCCAAGTACACCTTGGTAGCTTAGTTGGTAAAGCACCAGACCATGAAAGCTGGAGTCCCAGGTTCAAGCCCTGGCCAATGCATGTTTTCTCATACTATAAACAAATGTCATAATTTGTCACCAACCCTTGAGTCAGCGCATATTACCAGCATTGGCCTATCATGGACCTCATGAAGATGCGACATAAGAATACAAGCCATGCAGCTAAACTTGCAGAGCAAGTCACTGTTGCTTCTGTTGTCATGGGTAAATTGTTAGCAACAAGTTGGGCTTCTTAGGTTTGCCACAGGGCGTGAAGATCGGATGGAGAACAATATCTTAATGTTGGAGCACGCGGCACATATAATCTAGTTACAGCATGTTACTAAAATGATCTTGCTATGCTATATGTGTTACAATTGACGTACCAGTACCTACTTACGCTTCACTTTTTGTACTTTTACTTTTCTTTTTCCAAGTCACATGACCAGTCATGTGACCATTTACTTTACTTTACATTTTTCGACTTTTCATAGTCACATGATCAAGTCATGTGACGCAACACCTGACCAATGTCTAGACTCATCATGTGACCGGTCACATGCTAGACATCGGACTTTAAACTTTATTTACAACTGTACAGTACCTTATGTATTTTAGTATATATACAGGAGCAATACATGGGGAAGGACTCAGCGAGTCCTCCTGTTGTCTAGCACAACAAACCCATTGAAACCTGAGGGGTGATCCCTCCTTCTCTCTTCTCTTATACTTGTCTGAGTTGTGTGCCAGAGTAAGAAACTCTTGGTCGTTACAATATGCGGAGTTTGTGTGGTGTGGTGTGGTGTTTCTTATATAGGTATATACAATATCCCTGGTATTTATCATGCATCTGTTCCCAATGTTATTCACATTTGACTGGCAGCGGTCCTGTCCGGCTATACCTGCTGAACGAGTTGTTATCTTAGTAAGGTAAGGTTTACAATCCATAGCAGAGTAACGCCAGTGGAGCCTAATTTCAAATGTCTGCAATACATCAGTGAAGTGTTGTTCTCTGGTTAAGGTGATAGCATACATACATTTTTTGTTGGAGGAAAAAACAAACAATGGTTAAGCATATTGGTAAGCAATAGTCAGTGTTGGAGGTGAAGTAGTTGGGTTGCTGAGGCCAGAGGGAAGAAGAAACAACTGCATTTGAGTGTTTGCAAATATTATGTTGATCTGTCCTTGTGACTGATAATCATCACTCTACATCAAAATTGGCCCAACTTTAATTGTGTTACATGGTGTTGCACTATCTTTTTTAGCCCACTAGATCTCCAGGTCCTACTGATTGTCTAGTGAGATCATTCTTTTTGTGTTTCTTGTGTGTAGCATCCTTGCATGTCTCCACCCTCAATGGATATGGGTTTTTGTATTATCAGTGAGACAATAGTTTTTGTAGTAGATCCTGAAGACAACAGCTTTTTATGCACTTTCATTACAGATACAATGGCCTTGATACCACCTCTGAGGCTTTTATGATGTACATAGCTTATCCACCTGTATGTTAATCAAAGTGTCACAGTGGGTCCTGAAAAAAGTTGGGCTATTGCATTCATTCGTAAAACCCTGTTCCTTTCTATTACTAACAACTGCTTCTGTGAGCCACATGGACACCAATATATATCCCATGTTCGATGGTGCATATGAAAATAACCCGGAAGGAAGTAATCACTCAATGACTGATATTCCAAACCTGGATATGGGAGTAACAGCAACTGATATATCTGTAGACAATCAAGTTAGAGACTCCCTTTCACAAGCTATGATATGTGAGGACTCTGATGAAGAAGAAGAAGAGGTCTGAGATGGCTTGTTTGTGCTACAACAGGTGAGCCGTATTTGATATGGATGATTCAGATTTAACCAAATATATTCAGTTTTGGGCTCATCCGGAGGTTGTGCAATCAGCAGACAATACTCCCTATGAAGCTTCCTTGAAAAAATCTGTGCCCTATACTACACAGTCACAGCTCCTGGTATACTTGAGCTTGTTCATATATGACATGACTCCTCTAACAGCTACCTAGCAGGCTACACCCACAATACCAGAGCCCCCAGAAATAAGCTACCAGAGAGTGTACTTCGAGGTTGATGAATCTGATATTCTCCACAGGTGTTTGCACAAAGTAGAGAAAGAGAAACAAAGAGAGAGGATTTACATGTCATCAGAAGTGAGTGTGATTGTAATTGATTTGTGGTCCAAGATATCATGACATTAATTTGTGTTCTAGCTCTGGCGGTGCATGCAGAGTGCACAAGCTGACCAAACAGAAATGGTGCTAGTAGACACATTGGCTGGTGCCAAGATCTTGACAAAGATGGATCTTAGATGGGGGTACAATAATGTATGAATCAAAGAAGAAGATGCTTGGAAGGCCACATTTACGTGCCACCGAGGATCCTTTGAGCCCCTCGTCATGTTCTTTGGGTTGACAAATTCACCGGCGACCTTCCAGAGCATGATGAACAAGATCTTTGCAGATATGGAAAACTGTATCGTCATTTACATTGACAATTTATTAATATTTGCGAAGTCAGACGATGAGGCTGAGCAAACCCAAAAAATGTAATTTTAAAGTGAAGGAAGTAGACTTCCTTGGCATGATAATTGGCCAAAACGGAATCAGGATGGATCCTGAGAAAGTTCAAGCTATATCGGATTGGCCAGAACCTACTCACATAAAAGGAGTTAGGGCCTTTCTTGGCTTAGGCAATTTCTACCAAAGGTTTGTTGAAAAATTTGCAAAGATAATGAGACCGTTGAACGATCTCACTAAAAAGGACATTGTCTGGCACTGGGGTGCCAAAGAACAAGAAGCTTTTGATAAGCTTAAACAGGCATTTACAACAGTACCCATATTAGCATTTCCCGGGTT